GAGTCGTCTTATACGCCGGCAAATACGGTATATTATTGTGGTGGATACAGCCAGAAGCTGATAAATTCTATGAAAAAATTAAACAAGAAGGATGAGTGTTGGGAGCGGGTTGCAATTATAAATAGTGAGGTCAGAGCAGGCCTCACTGTGACTATGACACTGGTTTTGAGTTTTCAGAGGTTCTCATGTACTGTCTTTTAAATGGGAGAATGTGAACAAGAGAGATGAGAGTAAATAGGAGCCTGCTGATTTGAAGGATAGTATGAGTATTTCCTTTGTGTAACATGTGTCAAAATACAAACTAATATAAAGAGGGACATTTTCCAGATGGCCTAGTTTTGTTTTATTCAATTGGAGCAAAAAACCTTCCTTCAGTGTTTGTACACACCCTGCCTTTTCAAACAAAGGATACTGAAGACAGCCCACCTGGTTTGTGACCCCTGTGGGAGGTCATCACCAGGACTGTCCTGTCTTTTTAGCGACTGTCCTGAAGCAAGGCCCTGAGGGCAGGCAGAGATGCTTTCAGCTATTTGTGTGACTAATAGCTGAGCTTGCAGTGATTGTGAGAGCTACACAATAGCCACTACACACATGTGGCGATTTAAATTTAAATATAAATTAACTAAAATAAATGACATTAAAAATTCAGTTTCTGAGTTGTAGCAGTCACACCTGAGGTTCTGTTAGTTCCCTGTGTTAGCACAGCTGGGTCATTTCCAACATTGCAGAAAATCCTATTAGTATTTGTTGTTTTACATATTGTTTTTTGGTGGCATTGCTATCAGTTCCAAACCTCTCTCTTCCTTTTGATTTGTTGTTTCTCATAGTTTATATAGGTTTAAATACTTGATTTAGAATTTTGTGTAAAGGAAGAGTAAGTAGGCTCTAAGAGAGAGCAAAAGAGCTTTCTTATGTTCAGATATCTGAGTGTTCATACTTGGGGTTTGTATTTGTATTCTGACTGCCCCCAAGTTCTTTCTTGCTTGGTTATTGCTATGCATGTTCAGCGTGGTAAGAACATTAGATTTCTAAGTTACGGTGGGAAGAGTGCTATCAAACTTTAAAGATAAAATTGCACTTTTATGGAAATGCTTTAATTCCAGTCAGTGGTCCCTTATTTAAAGCAGTGCCATTCAAGGAGTATTTATTGACTGATTGCTGCATATACACTAAGCACTGTGTTAGGCCCAGGAGAGAGAAACAAAAATGAACTTGGCCCCTGCGGAGATTACAGTTTAGGTCGTTGAGAGAGTCATAAATAGGCAGAGTTCCACTGTCCAGTGCTCAGTTATGCCCAGGACACTCCCGAAGGCCAGAGTACGTGATGCCTGAGCCAGCCTTCCTGTGGGAAGTGGGGAGGGGATGAGACAAGAAGCCAGAGGCCAGGGAATGCCCCCTAAAGGAGTGATGTTTAAATGGCACCCTGAGGAATAAACAGATGTTTGTCTCGTTATGAAATTGGGAGAATGGGGTCGACAAGACATGCTGTACTATAGTGCGGACAAGGACACTGAGGAGTGACCTTGCATGATGAGAGTGGGAACTTTTAACTTTACTGTTGATGAGCATTTAAAAGCAAAGGGAACCCGTGTCTGTATAGACAGTCTTTGGCTGGCATGTAGAAGGCTTTCAGCAGATGTAGAAGGGCAGGGGAATGGTGACATGGGCTGATCTGACTTTTCAGCAGTTTAAGTAGTTCACTCTGGCAGCGCTGTTTAATTTGGGGGACCTAGGCTAGACACTGGGGCACCAGTGGTGGTGGTTGGCTGGAGGAGGAGGGGTGCATAGCAGTCCAAATGGGAGATAATAAGGCCTGATGTGAGAGACTATAACAGGGTGGAGCAGTGCACCTGGCTTTCATCAGTATTGAAGAGGTAAAATTATTAGTATTTGAAGATTGACTAGGCACGGGGGATGAAGGAGGCAGAAGAACCAGAGGTGACTCTAAGCTTTAAGGAAAACAGATTAATTTGAACTCTTCTTCCAAGTTCATGGTGACAGGTTTTGACCTACAGCTGCTCCTAGTGATTTTCATTGGCAGCTGTGGTGTCTAGGTTAGGTTTTGGCTCTTTAGGACTTCATCACTCTCTCATTTGTTAAAAGAACTTGAAGCATTCACTATAGAGAAGCACCACCCTTGTATGACTTTAATTTTGCAGTGGCCTATGAAAATTTATAGAAATTTGGCTTCATTTTTAGTGGCTCCAATCCAGATGCCAAATTACCCCATTGCTGGGACATCCCTTAGGTGAACCACTGAATCTGTTTTTTATTAGGAACAGCTGAAAACCATCAACAAAATTCTTGTACTATGCCAACAATAACGCCAGTCAAATTTCAAGGTAACTCTAGGTTTCAGAACGTTAATGATTCTCCAAACCTGCCTAGCTGAACCCTTATTTGTATTTTTACACATATTTATCACATGAAAAAGCTAGTGGCTTCCTTACTTTCCATAATTGTATGTTGCTTTTTTTATATTACAAATTAAATTCTGAGTTCTGAGTGTTGTAAAGACATACTTATAGAACTGTAGTCAATCACTTTAAAGTAAAAGTATAAATTCAGTCTGGATGGTGGAACCACAAGTTGGAGAGGAGCCAGCCCGAAGGGTCCATTATGATGGGGTCCATATTGAAAGCAATAATTCTCTTATAACTGCAGTATATTTTTAAAGGATTTTTAAAGTAACAGTTAGTATTTTAATGACATCTGTTAAGCTTCCAAAAAAACCCAGTTCTCTAGTTTGCAAGATTAAGGAAGGATGCCAAATATATGTTGATACTTTGGTTTTTACTGACATATTTCACTACTGCATGTCTAAAGCCACAGAACAGGAGGCGCCTGCCACTTTCTTTAGATAGTTATATTTAGCCACTGCATCTGACCTTTGCTGCTAAATATTATTATTTTTTGTTACTCTAACTGCTCCATAAAATTGGATCTTCAGTGGTCTGGCAGGACCTGTGAAACCCTGTTCCCTAATCAGGAAGATCTGGGCAAGTCTTGCAGTGTGAGGAAAGATGGCATGTGTCTTCTAAGTGAGACAATAGGGTTATAGGACAATTATACAACATCTTTAAAATTTTATCTGAAGAATAGTAATGTGTTTGGTGATGAAAAAGTACTGTAAATTGATAAGCATGGGAAGTTTCCACATCCTTTAAGAATGTTTTGTACAAAACGAGAAAAGAAAACAGGCTGACTTTTTGTGGTTCTTGAGAGGTTACACTAACTGTTAAAAGTTAATGAAGTTCGTTGGTTTCTAAGACCATTCTTCATGGATGAACGGCCATCCTTTGTATGATGTCAATGACGGTTGTTTAGCAACATGTCAAAATAGTTATATGAAAAAATAAATATGTTTCATTAATCACAAGGGGATCTTCCCAAAATGCATTTTCTTTATAAATAGTATTATTCTGTGAAACTCATGACTTCTTAGAGTGGAAAAGAAGGGAAAAAAACCTCTCTTTTCAAGCCATTTGTGATTTAATACCAGCTGGTCAAATTAGTTGAAAAACATTATGAGTCGTATGTTAGATTATTTTGAATGCCTTTTCTCTCTCTTGGGAAACTAGCTAACCCCACAATCTTTCTCCCCTGGCAAGTAGCTCTAAAACTTTGATCTATTCAAACCAGTTTGCCAGATGTAGCGGATAGAGCATGTGTGACCTTTTGTGTGCCAACTCAACCTGGCTGTTTGGAAGCAATAAGTTAATTTTGTATGACTTTTATTTCTAGGCATTACAGCAGAAGTTCTGGTGGTGACCTCTTTCGATGAACTGCAGAGAAGGGCCCCAGAAGCAAGAGGGAAGATTGTTGTTTATAATCAACCGTATACCAACTATTCCCAGACAGTGCAATACCGAGTGCAGGGGGCAGTAGAAGCTGCCAAAGTGGGGGCTTTGGCATCCCTCATTCGATCGGTGGCTTCCTTCTCCATCTACAGGTTGGTCATGATGTTTGTTTGAAATCTTTTCAAAAACCGGTGTTTTCCATGAAAGAGAAGCCCTTATGAAATAAAAACAAACCATTTAAATGAAAATCTCATTGCTCATGGAATTTTCCCCCACTCCACATTTGGTCATTTCTTTGTAGTATCTTCTTTGGCCTTTTCAGGATTCCAAGCATCATTTGTGCATTCCTTTAAAAAAGCTTTCCACATAAGTGGTGATCCCATAAAATTCTTTATATAACCAATATATTATGTATTTTCATTGGCAGGAGAACTGAATTCATGTCTGTGTGTCATCAGAGATTCTTAATGACTTCAGAAAAAGCCAGGCTTTTTCCATTGTTGCTAGAGAAGTAAAATAAAAAATAAAGTGGGTGACATGGTGGAGACCATCTGTGGTGTGGTGGAAAGAGTTGAGGAAGCAGTGGGTCTTAGTTATAGAGCTGATTCTTCTCCCGAACTACAGTGTGGCCTTGGGATGTTCTTGAACTCTCTGGGCTTTAATATTCTCTTTATTGATTGGTGATGATGAAGAGTAATGAATTTACAAAATTATTTTAAGAAAAAATGAGGTAAGCTTATGAAAGATACTTGGTTATCTAGAAATGTCTAAATAAGCATTTGGTGGTATTATTTAAGGGCAACATAACTTTTGTCTTTTGTTTTTTTTAGTTTTGATTGAGGTAATTAAATGCAAAATGCTTTCTTGACCCTCAGTCTTAGGATGAAAGTCAGCATTGCAGTGGATAAAAGGTCTAAAAACTGACCTGCAGACTTTTGGCCTAGTTTAATAGCTATTATACATATGGTAGCATCACACATTAAGGGTAAAATGTTTGAGAAACATGGATAAAAGAAACACCATTTTAGTGTTGTAGGCTGGCCTCTCTCAGGTTAAAAAAAAAAGTAAAAATAATTGCAAATAGGGTTTATTTGGGTCTTTAGACTATATCTTTAGTATCTATTGTAAAGGAAAGTTTGTTTATTCTGCACAATTACTATTTGGAGCTGGAGACACAGCTACTTGACCTTAATTAGCACATTAGATCTTGAAAATAAAATAACTAAGGAGGAGACATCAGTAACTAGGAAACCAAGTCCAAAGGGAGTTGTTCAAAAGTGCAAGAGAAAAGGAAAGGGACTTTTTTTCTTTTACAGGGGGATAAGATATCTTCCCAGGGAAGGAAGATGGGACATGTTAAGACCACTTGTTAGAAGTTTTATGAGAGAAAAGCTAGTTCCACTGATGTCATAGTACTAAAAATAATGTTCTTTGTAGAGTCTTTAAAGGTTTGGTGAGTAGTGAAATAATGATTGGACCATATTCTTTCGGATAGTTAATCTTCCCAGGAGGGAAGTCCTAAAATGACTAGCTTACTTCCCAGAATACCTCAGTCATCCCTTAGAATAACATACTCAGCAAGCTGTGGCTATTCACCATGATTTCACTGGTCATGAGACCTAAATTATGGAGCTCGTCTGTTGCTTTGTGAAACTGGGTGACTGCCAGAAATATTTATTTAAGAACTACTACTCATAAGACTAATAAATTCCCAGATGACTTAATGTGCCGCAGTCTGCCAGGGTTAATTGGCATTTTTTTTTCTTTCTTTCTTTCTTTCTGGTGTAATGAAGACGTCTGGAAACCCAGGCTATAACCTAGGTGCCTGAGAAGAATTTTATCCAGCATAGGACTGAGGAATCTGTTGTTAGCCTCTAAGATTTGGGGTTAGCAACTTACAATGTATATTAAAAAGACATTTTTCTTAATATTTCTAGATCTAGACTGATTGTATATTTTTTTCTCAATTTTATAGCTAACCATATTTCACTGGAGTCTCGACTTTTATAACTTTTATAACTTCATAATTTCAACATTTATAAGTACATAATAACCATAGTACTTAGAATCTTTCACATATGTCATCTTATTTGTTCTGACAATGACCCACCCAATGGACCAAGCAGAAGGGGCATTATTATCCCCATTTTATAGGCAGGGAAATAAAAGTTCAGAGAATTCAGCATATTTTTATGTTTGAGTCTTGTATCTTGAAAAATAAAAACCAAAATGAAATAAATTTTGTCTCTTTTTCCATTTGTAGCTAATTGTTTCTTAGAGCCAATTTTCCTTAAAGAGTATTTTGCATTCCTGTCTCTAATTTTTCACCTCTCATTCACTCGCAGACCATATTAACCTGGCTTTTGCCAGTACTGAAATGGAAATTGCTAAGGCCCCAAATAGTTGTCTAGTTGTCAAATATAATGGACATCTTTCAGACCATCATCTTTCTTTACCTCTCTGAAGCATTCATACGTATTGACTGGTTTTTCAATATCTCTTCTCTTTGGCTTCTATGACTTCTTTCTCATATTCTCTCACTCTCTCTCTCTCTCTCTTTCTCTCTCTCTCTCGCCTCCCCCCACCCCCCCCTTTATCCCACTTTCTCACTTTCCCTCTGCCTTCCCCATTTGTCTGGCTTCTCACTCTGGAATATTCTACCTGAGCAATCCCATCATGCTTGTGGCTTCAACCACCATCTGTACTGTGACACTTTCCAAACCCACCTGTCCTATCCATAGCACTTCCTGAGCTCCAGGCCCAATGTCCAACTACCTGCTGATTCTTCTTTTGGATGTTCTATAGCTGTCTCAGTTTCAGTTTTTTCAAAATCACATTCATCCTTTCACCCCATTTTATCTCTGAAGAGAATGCCATCTTTCTGCCTTCTAAGTTAGATGGTCCTTGATTACTTTTTTTCTTCCATTATCCATTATTTCTAGTACTTACTATGTTTCATAGGTTCTGCTGTTTATCAGTCATTTCAATAAATACATATTTAGCAGCTACATTTCCCAACATCACTTTACAGTCCAGTAGTCAGGAGTCATTATCACTAACACTTTCCCAGTGTACCGCATTTCCTTAAAGTTTCATGACTTTGCATGTGCTTTTTCCTCTACAAACTTCTATTTCCTTTCTTACTGTCTCACATTTTCCTTCAAGGTTCATCTTAAGTGTTTCTTCCTCTGTGGAGCCCTCCCTGATATCCAGCTCCAGTCCAGGTGAGCTACCTCTTTCTGGTATTCCCACGTCATCCTGTGCTTACTTGGTATCATAATGTTTTGGAGGCAGTTTGGGTTTATAGTTTGGTAGGGTAGCCAAATTGTCGAACGAACACTTCATATTTTGGTCACTTAACATAATATGAGTCAATTTCTTGCTCACATAATAGGTCCAAGAGATTGGTCAGTAGATGGTCTTCTGCTTCTTTCCATCTTGTGGTTCCATCACCTCTAAGATCTCAGAATCCTCTGCATCCAGCTGGCAAATAAGGAGATAAAGTTCATGATCCAAAGGGAGGTTTTCCCTGGCCAGACCTGGATATGTCATGCCCCACTTGTACTCACATTTCAATGGCCAGAATGTAGTTATGTGGAGGCTGGGAAATTTGTTCTATCTTTATGCCTATGGTGAAAGGTAAATGAGTTTACTGTTCTAGTCTGCCCCAATTGCCTTACTCCACCCTAGACTGTAAGTTTCAGAAAGACATGGGTTATATTTTTTACCTCTGTATCCCCATCATCTAGTATAGTGAGTTGCATAATATTCCCTGAGGAATTATCTACTGAAGGAATGAACTTGTCTGAGATTGTATAGTTAAACATAGCAGGGCTCTTATGACAAACTGATTAAAAGTGTTCTCTGACTAAACTGCATGGTCTTTATATAGTAAGTTCAAAACAAGTTGACCTTTCGGGGCACTTTGCTCTGCTTTTGGAGGAAAATATCCAGGTGTCCAGTATACCAGATTGTATCTTTTTCTGACAATACATTCATGAGCAAAGGTATTTTGAGTTGCTAATTGAATAAAACAGGTAATTTTTTTTTTTTTTAGTAAATATTTATTGAGAGCTTACCAGTTGCTCAGAAGTTTCCAGATACTAGGGTTACTAAGATATATTAGACTTTTTTTTAATCTCAGGAGTATTCATCTGGCTAAAAGAGATGAGAGTAAACTTAAAATACAAATGACTAGTATAATATATTTTCTGTTTAGTGCTAAATGCATGATTAAGGGAAACGGATGAAAAAAGGAAATTAGCACTTATTATACACTTTGTATGGTTCTCTGAAGGCTTAAATAGTTCGTTTCAATTAATTCTTTGTGCAACCAAATAGAAGTAGATTTTGGCATCTCTCTTTTACTGAAGGACAAACAGGTCACAATGGTTAAATAGCTAGTTAAGTAACATGGCTAATGAAAGAACTGCAATTCATACTCAGAGTCTCTGGTTCTAAATTCTGTCCACTTTAGATTCCACCAAGCAACCTGGAGAGCTGATGCTACAGGAGTCTAGAAAAGGTAGTAGGAGTCTGACTAGGGCTGGCTTTATGGAGATGTGGGTTTTGGGTGTACTCAATCAAAGAGTTGAACTTGAACAAGAGACGGGAGGTGGAGAGACATTCTACACCAGATCAAGGCAAGAAAGCAGGCGTGCATGAGGCACTTGGGTAATACGAAAGTAGAGCAGTTTGGCTGGAGCCAGAAGGTCTGACAGGAGATCAGAAAAATGTAACTTTGGGGCTGTGAAGAACCTGAAGTACTAGTCTGCGGAGGAGTTTTGAAGTTTAATGTGGAGGAAATGGGGAATCACTGAATGTGTTAGAGGTGGGGAGATGATATTTTAGAGCAGTGTTTCTCTAAGTATGGTCTCGAACACAGTCATCAACCTCATCTAGGAGCGAGTGGACATGCAAGTTACCACGCCCCATCAGAGACCCATTAAGTTAAAAAATGCTTGGGTGTGGGGCTTGTGGTTTAACCAGCCCTCCTGGTGATTTTGAGACAAGTTAAAATTTGGAAACTACTGGTTTAGAAAGATTCATCTAGCAACTGTACACAGCATGCTTAAAAGAGGAAAGACAGGACGCTGCTCTAATAATACAGATATGAAATAATGTGGCGATATACGATAGCAGTGGGATGCAA